ACTGCTAAGCAATACTTGGATGAGTCATCAATATGATAGGAATCAGATCCTGTATTCTATTTTCGAGAGAAGACCAGGGATGTTCTGAAACCAACTGATGTGGCTGATATATCAACTCAGACATTTATTTTTGGGCTGCTGTGCTTTCCAGATGACCAGTTTGAATTGATAGTTAGGCAAAGTCCTGATGGGGCTCTGATGGCTTATGTTTGTCTTTTTCTATGTGGATTGTTTACATATTTATGATATTTATCACATGGTGCATTTGTTTTAGTCGAATTGCATCTAGGAGAATGCTCCTTGCAAGTCCTACCCAATCTCTTTCATTTCATAGTCATTTATATTCTTGTAATTGCTCTTGCTGTCACAGTCTATATGTTTGACGTGCAACTTTTGTATCATAGCTGAAGAAGAACTGCAAAAGCTAAGTCATGCCTTGAGAATACTTTCTGAAACAGAGAAGCATTTGAGAGTGTCAAAAAATCAAACTACATGGCTCACTGTAGCTCTTCTACAGCTAAGCTCGGTTGAGTTTTCTTCCCCAGATACAAATGACTCCAAATTGTGTTTGATAAGCGCACAAGGTTAGAATTAACTAAAATACTATTGATTATTTAGTTACTTATTAGAATTTGTTTGCAAACTGCTAAGGCTTAACATTTTTATCTAGTTGATTTACCTCAAAGCCTACTCCTGTTTGCAGACAATGTTTGTAGCATTGGATCGGAAGGGGAGGGTATGAAGCAACTTGTCGCTTGCTCCTGTGATGCCAATAAGTCACATAAACAAGGGGTTCATGAGGGTTGTCAAGGCACATTGGATTCCATATGGAAGAAGGTTACAGAGTTATGCCAATCTGATTCTTTTAAGAAATTTTTGAGGAATCGAGGGAGGTTGTCTTCTCTTTCCGTTAACCAAGGTGGGTTCCAACTGTTATTTTTTGTTATGGTTTGCTCTGATGAATATCTGTGCTTCAGACGTAAAAGAAAAAAGAAACTTACACTTTGGAGATACCAAATATTACTTTGGAAGAGGACATCATAATTTGGATTCTCGTGTTAACCAGCCTCTTACTTCAAGTTCTCTTCACTTATTACAGTATACTATGTCAAAAATTTTTTGCTACAACTATATAATATTAATCTTGAAAGTTCTGAATGTACGTAATCTGTTCTCTTTTCTGCAAGCAATGACTCCAGAACATTTCAGGTTTGGCAGTTGCCGAATTGGAATTTCGTCATCCAGGCTATGTATCTAGAGCTGAAAAGTCATGGAAACTTATTGCAAGTTCACTTCAGTCTATATTGGGCTCTAATGTAGAGATCCGGATCAATCTTGCTCCGTGTGCTTCAACATCAAAAGGTGCCAGAGTATGCAAGCAGCTCTTGAGTTTCTTTAGCTATACTTGCTGTAGAAAGCAGAGGTCAAAATCAAATACGGAACATAGAACTGATTCACAGTTTAGTGATTATACTTTTGAAAAGTCTATGATTAGAGACAGACCTCTTATAACTTGTTCTCCGTATTGTGGATGTCAAATATCACATAACTGTTATGACAGAATGGAAATGGTAAATGCTTTAAGAAATAGTGAAGGAAATGTTCTGAGCATAGGGACATCCTCATCTCGCCGATCAATTGAAGATGATGGATTGAAAACCCCAGGGAATGGTGGTGACTCCTCAAAAGAAGAACTAAACAACTGTCAATACCATATTATATCGATAGAGGAACCCGAGAATGTTCAGGATTGTTTTCCCAAAACTTTTAGGCTTTCGAAGAAGTTTCATCACTCAGATGCTTATCAAATTACCCGTGCCAGCAACCGACTGGAAAACAAGCTTGCGTTGTCTATTCCCAAGAAGACATCTGGAAAACAAGCTTACATCTGTGCCAATGATCCATGCATATCGCGAGGCAGCTCCGAGAACTATGGTATTATCTGTCAAGAGAGGGACAGGTAAGAAGTTTGATAGAAATATTTTTTTTCCTTTGATTATTTGGAGTTCCTTTTCTTTTAAGTTAGACAATTGAGCATTGGAATGTATCCTTCATGGAATTTGTGGACTTGATGCCATTTTATCTTCTCACCAGAATGGAAATTTAAGCTAGAAGATGTTGTTAGGGATTTGTGGAAAAGTGAAGGAGAAAAACTCACGGTATAATGTGCTTCATTCTCTCTTACTTATTTTTTTGGGAATGTCCACTATATTCAAGTAAACTACTTGCTATTTATTTCATTTCAATAAACCACAGAGTACCACGGAAAACTCCCGAAAATTGTTCTATGACCCCCTTAAGCCTGGTTCATCCTCCTCAGACTTAGGTTACGAGAAGCATAGGAATTCTCATAATTCTGTCATTAGCTTACCAACTACACGAATAACAAAGAATAACTACCTAATTTATAGACTTAATTTGGTTCTAGTTTTGTTTCAGCATTCTACTAGGATTAGGACTGTTCTAAATCCTTTTTTGTTTCAGTACTATTTAGACTTTAGGAGTTGATGTAATAGAGTAGAGTAGAAGATAGTATTGACTTAAATCGTATATATACCCATTCTAGTATAGCTTGTATGAACTTAAAGAGTAATCTGCAGCATACATTTGGAAGATTCCTGCTATTTCTTTGTGCCTGGCCTTTTGGAAATGGTAAAAATTGTAATTCACTTGATTTTGAAAAGTGAAGCAAATCCTCGTGAAGCAGGAGGATAAGGATTTTGGGAATCCAACTTGACTTATTCTGGGTGACAACTGATTCTTATTTTGCCACAGATCCAAATAATGAATGCTCTTTCTTTCATAAAATAATTGGTGAATAGGGTGAAGTCTGAAACCATTATGATTGCTTGAGAATAGTGACTCAGCATTGTGTTTAGTTATTTTAGTGACTGATTGATGGACTTGAAGTTAATTAAAACCAGGTTTAATATTTTACTTGTTATTTATCTTGTTTTCTCTCTCTTTCTCATAACTTGTAAAATAGATTAGACTAGTAATGCTTTTTTCCTTTTTTGTCATGAGAAAATCACCTAATTGTAGTCTTTTCAGGATATTTTTCTTTGAAGATTTCAGTATCCATATTCAGTTATTTGTTTATTTATTTATTTTTACTTTTTTATGTGGTTGTTAATATAATAGGAGATATATTTTCTAAATAGATAATGTTTATATGTTAGGATTCCATTTACTAACTTAAGTTGAATTGATTTTATATAGGAAATTACATATTAAAGAAAAAAAATATTCAGGTTCGGTCAAACAGGAGATATGAGCCTAGAGAGGCATCCATGGGGATAAAAAATATAAAAAAAGACTTTTGGCAGTATTTCGTAGGTCACTTTATGTGTTTGAATGGTCATTTTATAGGACAAAGGATTCTTGGTTCCAGACCTTATGTTTTACGGTAAAAGGCGATCCTCTTTACACTAGTAATTATATAGTGGACTTGATTAATGTTTGATAGATCTAGAAAGCTTTTGTATATATTTTTGCACTCCCTTGATGCTCGTTAATACTATATTTTTATTTCAAAAAAAAAAAAGAGGAAAGAGTCCTAACATATTACAAGGTACTGTTTAGGAGATGGAATCATAACATATAGAAATTGTCATTTAGGAAATGTATCTTCTGTATGTTGAAGTGGTATTTCGTTCTCCTTTTTGATATGTCTTTAAGACCTTTGACAAATGAATTCACATGTGGTCCTCTTCATCTAAATCTTTAGTATTTTTACAGTCAAAACATGTTGTGATCGTATATGGTTCTATGTCATGTTGGATTATAATACACCTATAGTAGCGTCCAAGCCAATATTTATCTGGTTTAAAGCATACATGAATGTCGATTGTTTAATGTTATTTGAAAAGACTGGTACATATTTAACCAGGAAAATTTCCACTCATTTTCAAAATTTTCAGAGATGTCCCTCAACATCTAACAGTGTGCTTTTCTTCTCTGCTCTTTTTGTGCAGACTGAAGGAGAGTTCTCATGTGCTCTGTTGGAGAACACCAAAATTCCGGATAAAGGTAAGATGACCAGAGCTTTTAGGGAAATTTTATGGAATAATATAGAGGGCTAGGCAAAAAAATATATGATTGATATATGATCTAACTTAAGGATGGTGAACTGCGTTTTCACTGAATAAATTCATCATTATGATTTTCGTTTCAAATTTGAGTTACCTTCACCAAGTAGAGGCTGATAACGTCAAATACAATTAAATTCATGTTAATGCTATTATAAAAACTCAGAAAAAGGAGTTCCCTACAATTAAAATGAAAAATGAACCAAACGGGATTTTGTGAAAAATTCGCACTTAATCTATATGCCTATGGTGTTTTCTTTTTCTGGATTTATTGTAGTGGTTGTTAATAATAGTACATGACATCTGATGGCAAGGTGGTAGAGGATTGCTTCTGAGCACTGTAATTTAATTGTACCTGCTAAGTAACCATCCCTTATTTAGGATCATTGGTACTTCCACTTTCTATGAGGATGTGGTTGGGAATGTGTCCTCTTTAAGAGATTGATTGTGTTGTTATTAGTACGTGACTGTCATAATTATTAAAATATGTTAGTTTTCACTGAAAAAAATTCTACTTGCTAATACATGTTAAGGTTGCAGGGACTGCAGCTTAGACATCAAGGTAGACAGTCCCTGCATGGTGGGTTGGCTTCTTCCTTGCTCAAGCGCTAAGTAATGCTGCCCCAACGGATGATGGCAATTTTTTGATTGCTGATGGATGGGGAAACTCAAAAGAATACCTGCATATTTTGTGTTTTGCAAATCTATGGAGTAGCAGTGATGACAATGCATATACATATCAGGTGCAATGCATTTACATGTCAGGTGCTGCAATGTTTCCTAAAGTGGTAGAAATGCTTCATTTATACTATTTATATAGAAGTAAAATTTCAGATAGCCAAATTTGGGAAAGCAGAGGGATAAGAAAGGGAAATACCAAGTTGGCTCATAGAACAACACAATTATTCTATTTCCATTTTCTCTATATATATGTTTTTATATTTTATAAATATAAATTACTTAAATCCTCGTTTACTTAATTAAGTAGTTAAAATCATCAATTTTGTTTTGAAAATGGTGTAAGCTCCTCAAATTATTACAACTTACCAATACAAATATTTTTTCTATGAAAATCACAAAAGTTTCTTCCAATAAGTATCCCAATTCTTTTATAAAGTTTAAGATTAGTTGCAGATTATCCTGCTTCCTGGGTTATCACTCAGCAGCATATTACAATGGATATTTATCTTGGATAATTTAAAAAAATTGAGCAGCAACTGTTGAGAAAAATAATATTTTCACCATGAGTAACAGTTCTTCATCGTTACTCAGTGGTATAACTTACTTAGGATTAATTAATTTAATTTAATTTAATTAGAGACAATTAATATATTTATTAATGACTTGTTAAATTTTACAAGTATTCATAATCCTTTATTGACTATCAAGAAAACACCCAGTAAATATACCAAAAGATTTTGTCCGTTATATGACTATTGATTGAAAGATTCACCTTGACAAGATTCATCAATTATTGAAAATCTACAATTCTATGATTTCCCTCTAATTATATTTTTGCTATCTTTTTTCAATTTTACACAAATAGATAGTGTTGCCGTCTTATGGGTAATTTATAGATGTCCTTTCAAAATAATTGGACCTAGCCAAGGTGATGGCGAGTAAAAGAAAGAAAATAAACAATGGAGTATAGAGATATGGGATCAGTTAGTAAAAATTATAAATTTATACCCGTTCCATCCTTCAAGTGGAATAAAAATGTTTTATGATTTTATTCATTATTTCTTGAATTTACTCATTTTTTTTAAAACTTATAAATATTTAAATGAATAATAAAAACTTAATTTATTAAATCTATATCTCGCTTCATACCCTTAATTAGGAGTTTTTTTTAATCCAATTACCTGCTTTAGTTTTTACTAGGAATAAAAGTTTCCGTAATGAAGGGTATTTTAGTAATTATAATAAAACTGAAGGGTGTTAACTTATGAGTAAAATGTTGTTTAATTCTGATAAATAAATTAGTCGAGAAGAAAAACCGATCCAGAACAGTGGTTACCGGTTAGCTCAAGCGAAGTAGCTGTAATCAATCCATGGAGAAGGGGAGAGAGAACACGAGATTGCACGTTCTGTGTCGTAAACTGGTGATCACCAGGAATGAACCAGGTCTCCAATGGCTTATCGGTTCTCCATTTTTTCCTCCTTCCACAATTGTCTCCACCTTCAGATGCATCCACCATTCCTTCCGCTCCCCTCATTCTCCAGATTTCGAGAAAGAATCAGGTAAATTGACTTCTTGCCGGAGTTTTTTTTTTTTTTTCCTTTCAATTCCCCAAAAATGATTCTGCATGCTTGGATTCTCGTTCCTTAAGTTATGATTTTTAAATGGAGTAACCAGGACGTGAATAATCAGCTTCTTGTGTTATGTTTTTTTTTTTTTTGGGTGAAACCGATTTTCGTGTGTAATTATTCAAGCAGAAGATCTTCGAACGTTATTGCTGAAAGGCTTTGAAATAATCGGGGCTTTGATAATTGCACAGTCCGATTATGAAAGAAGTGCCGTTGACGCCATTGATGCTGCTCGCAAGTTGAAAAGACTTTTATCTGGAGGATCAATATCGGACAATGAAGAAGTGATTGGAGCCGTTGCTGATTCGGACACTGGCAACGTTCACTTTTCGGTCTCGAGAACTGAAAGTTCGTCAAAGTTAGAACCTGTTACTTGTGTCGTGTACGATGATAATCCCGAGAAGTATATTTGGGAGACAGGTTGCTTGCTTCGATGCGAGCTGCCGATTCAGTTACCATTCTATTTTCAGCCAAATAAACCGTCTGGTAAGCTTTTATTTGCCTTTCTTTCCGTTTGATTTGCCATTTGCTTATTGGCTACTTTGTTGAATGTTCAAAGAAGGGTTGTTATGGATGTGTTAGGTTGTCGGAAATAATTGGTTGATAGTCCGGTTTAAAATGATACTTGAGGATTTGCATTTAAGGCGATGTAGCTAGCTTATAACTTACAGGTTTTAGCATAAATGAGAAAGGGATATCTAGGACTTAAAAAGAAGAGATTAGTTGGAAGGAATAAAAGGGCCAGGGTGCTCTGCTTTGTGTTTGAGCAGGGTAGTAAGGAATTGTCAATGGGAATGGTGGTTATGTCTGTGAGAGGTGGGACAGATTGCAAAAATGGTGTTTAGGGGGAAGAAGATTAGCAAGACTGTTGAATACATGATTATGGTTTCTAGTTGTCAGGACACTGACTCATGATGGTGAGCCGCTTACCTGCAGTTGGTAGAGTGTTTAGAGAAGTTAGGGAGAAATAGCAAGGAAGAGAGAAGCATAATTTGAGAGAAGAGATAAGGGAGAATACAGAACCAAGGAATAATGAAAAGGCTTTTCTGCATTCATAATTCTTTTACATCAGAGCTGACCAATCTCTAGTCGTTGGGGAGCGTTCATAGTATGGACAATCCTTTTCCTATACTGCAAACTTGGTCCTAATTAGCACATAGGGAGTAACCACCTTGCACTCAAAAACGACAACATACATTAACTAAAATAACAGGAACAAAAAGAAAAACATATCTTCGTTCTTTCCTAGCAGTAATTTCTTGGGCTAGACACTAGTGTCTCCTCTAAGTTGGAGAGAAAGTGAGCACTCACTGACATCAGCTGGCCTTTATAGAATGCTTTCTTTTAGATAGTTGATTTTCATGTGAGCTGGATGTGCCTAGGATATGCTTGCAATATGTTGAAAACTTTTTGATAGTTGATAAGCGAGTGCTACTGTTGTCTTTCAGATGTAGAGAAAATGTATTTACATGCTACCGATGCTGTTGTTGCCAAGTTAAAAGAACCACATGTTGCATTCATGTTTGAAACCTTAAGCAAAGCCTCTGCTGGAGTTCCTCCGCATCTCATAGTTCATGGTTCAGAGCTGAATTCTAACACTGATCTTTCAAGTATCAAACTCGTGGGAGACACTGCCCAGGATTCCTATGGAGAAGCTTTAACATGTGGACACTTTTGTTTCAAAAATACATCTCCCCCTGCTGTATTTTCTTCAGAGGTAAAAGAAAAACAAATAAATCACAGTGTATTCTGTTTGTAAGTGTTCTGTGTATTTCTTTTTTGATTAATGTTCCCTTGTGGGAAGTATATTCCTTTATATTGATCCTCTCTCATTGGAGGAACGAGCTAGTAAAGTTCATAGTTTTAAAAAGCTTTTCTTCGTAGAATGCAGATATAATCCAAGTAGGTGTGCTTTTGAATAGGTCTAAAAAGCCTCTAAAATCCACTGCCCCTGTAGCAGAATATTTTTCGGGTACGGTTTTCATTAGTAGCCGAATTCCATCTTATATTAATTTAGTGGATTCAAAGAGAATCTACTATTATGCTGTAATTCTTTTGGTTTGTAATTCTAATGCTGTGGATCTTATGGGGTAATTGTTTTGGTGAATATAAAAATTTCACCTCACAGCTTTGGAAGAGGCCAGGCTTTTGGTTGTAGATTTTACATTAGAGGTGCTTTGTTATGCGGCTACGAGTCTTGAACTGAGGCATGCGGCTGCAAAGTTGGTCATCCCCGCACTGGTTGATCAGTTGAATTTAATGAAGAAGGCAACCTTGCCTAACCTCTTAGCAGAACATCCTCAGGTATGGTAATAATTTCACTCATAAGAACATTTCAAACCTTTCAAATTGCTGGCTCCAACTCCTTCACTAGATGATGACTTCCTATGCCTTTTCACATTCTTTTTCCTTGGGATTATATTTTCCCTTCGATTTCTCTTTTTCTTTTTCTCCTTGGTGTTATGTTTTCCTTTCCCTGTATGTCAGGCATTAGCAGATATGCATTTCTAATAAATGATATATACTTTTTGTTACTAGGTTAGATTTGATGTAACTTAATGCTAAAAAATAATTTGTTAAAGGGCTCGGGGATTTTGTTACAGTGGGATACTATGTATTTGTATCTAAAGTTTCTGCAGAAAGAGCAAACTAGAACAGGATTCGACCATCCTCCTCATGCAAGTGACAAGACTTCTAAATACTGCAGCAATGGTGCAGATAAGAAAATTGCTTCCAAATACATTGATTTGAGAGGTGCCATAAGAACAACACCGGAATTTACATACAAAGAATATAAAGAGTAGCAGAATTATGGATCGCTATGTGCTAATTGATAGCAAAGTACAAGGAAAAATGTGTCTACAACAGAACCTTACCCAACTTAAATCCACAGATTCGTTTATTATCCAGGGAATTCAATCTTGTTGCATGAAGATGGTTTTAGCTACCTGTGATATTTGGTTTTTCAGCTATCCACATTATCATTTCCCCAAGGAAATCTTTTGTGTATGTTCACTTTCTACAAGCAACTGAGAAGTTTTTTGTATTTGCAGTTACGTGCATATCACTTTAGTCCGTCATCTTTATTGCATCCAGTAACCATAGTGTATGAACTTAGTCATGGGGAGGCAGAAATGAAACAAGGTACTGCATGTTAAATTTTTTAATTTTCTTGCTTATTGCTTGAATTACTACTAAACCAAATGCTAGTTATGAGTAGTAATTGTTCGTCAGTAAATTATTGTCTTGACTTCTTTCTCAGTCCGTAAAAAGGGGAATAGAAGGCATTCATTGGTCAGCTTATGCATGAACTACTAAAACTTCCATATTCTGGAATCAAAAGTTACTCCTTTAACAGTATTTGCATTTTGGCTGTGGAAAGGTCGGGGGTTTTGATAATTACTGCCAATAAATTCTGATACTTAAGATTTCTGAGTGCTTATTTAAAGGGGAAACAAAACTGGTTGTATTAGAATGGATA